TGATAATTTTTTCTGCTATACCGAAAACGTACCGAACCGTGACCTAAAAACCAAGGTACGTACCGAACCGAAAGGTTTGTGAACCGTTACACCCCTACAATCAATATTAACTTGGAAAGCCACAATATTAATATTTTAACTCAATGACATAGGTGATATTATTGTGGCACATCAGTAAAGCCTTACATATGCATATATAAGGTGGCAGACGTAATTGAATGAATTTTAACTGAATGAGTTGGTTTCACTCTTAGACCAGCAGGGGTACCAAATCTATGAAGACTGCTGCAATAAGTATATTAATTAACTGTCTCATCGATGTTTGTCTGAATGAATATGATACTATTAACAATCATATTGTTCCTATCAGCTGTCAATCACTGTTAATAAATAATAGTAATAATAGATTTAATTTGTTAGCGCTTTTACAGGTGCTCAAAGACGCTTTACAGATATAGTGAAGAACTGTTATGATTCACATAATCATTTATTATTGAATAAACTATATTTTTTGGAGGAGTTAATGATGAATGTTCATCAAGATGCTTGCTCACCCTCCTTCAAATTTGAAAAACAAGTAATTATATCATTATTGATATACAGTTACAACCTTGACTTTGAATCAGAAAGAACAAATATTAAAGAAGTGACTAACTGCATCAGTTAGGGTTAACAAAACGTGTATTCAGCTCAGGGTTTCCCACACATAGACTATACTTGGGCGGGCCGCCCAGGTATATTAACGGCCGCCCAAGTATATTTCGCGACCCATTTTTTTAAAAAAAATTTTTTGTATAAGTTTTTTATTTTTTTTTATTTTTTTATTCGTCCGTGACCACGACGCCATCTGCGATTGATTAACTTGTGGACAATGATCCCTCGCTCCCTTGCTCTGATCTCGCCTCGTTAAGTGGCCTGCCTCACACAGGGTGACTGGCTGTCTACATGATGTGGCCTGCCAACATGGCCACTGTCATAGAGATCATAAATCAAAGCCCTTGATTGGTCTCTGTGTGTCATTCAAGCTCGGGATAACCTCAGCTCAGGTGAGGTAAAGGACTCTCTGAGTGTTTAGATAGTTAACTTAGTTTAAGTTCTCAGTGGGTCTCAAACAGTGTGGTCACCATTTATGTAAACACATATTTCCATTTGAGAGGGTAGTGATTGATCTAATGCAGAGGTGCCCAGTACGTCGACCGCAGGGGCAATGCTGGTAGATCGCGAGTCATTCTTAAAAAAAAAAATCCAGCTCCGTTAAAATAGACAAAACAGGGTTTGATCCCTCCTCCCTTGGCCTCCCTGCCACTTAATTCAGGAGTTTACTTGATTGACAGAAAAAGCGACCTATCGCTTTCCAGTCTGTTAACCCAGAATGATAAATTCTGGGTTAACCATAAACCATAACCATAATGGTTATGGTGGTTATTTGCCTTATTTGTAAAGCAAGCGTCGCTCTGCCAAAGAAAGGTAACGTGGAGAGGCATTATCGGAGTGTTCACAAGGCATATGACAGCGACTTCCCTCCGAGTAGCGAGTTGAGAAAGAGAAAGGTCATGTATTATTGCTACACAAACATTATCTCGCAGTCTTAGTGTCGCCAACTCGTTTCTAACATGCAAAAAGACAAACAAATGCGTCTATGGTCGGTGTATTTTTAATCTTTCCGATCCAGACGAGATCTCTCTCTCCCCCGTCTGTGCGCGAGGGGGCGGGGCAGTTTACACACACGCGGCTGCTACATGCAGAAACACACGGCGGAGAGAAGCGCTCCAAGGTGAGGTTACATGTTACCCGTCTTGAGGAGGACAATGCTCCTTGCCAAGAGAGTTCAGCATGTGAGGGCGGGAACACGAGCAATGTGTCGAAACATTTATCAAAAGTGCACCACATCCAGACGGAGGAATGCACCGGGTTCCACTGTCTTTCTAGCAGCTCTGCAGCCCCCTACACGAGTAACGTTTCCCCGTCAGGTGTTATGTATGCTAGCAGCACCACACGGAGTTAACTCATGATACAAACATGGGTTAATGATTAGAGGTAACTGAGTTACTCTTTATTTTGTTAAAGTTACAGCTATTCTGTTCACAGTTCTGTCATCAGATTATTTAATAGGATTTGTTAAAACATTGTTGTTTCTTTTGATGCGAAATATTATTTATTTAAATAAAAAGCAATGTTAGTTTTGTAAACAATTTGTTAATTTAATAATATATGTATTTTTGAATCAAGTATTCATCTTTATTTTCTTCATTGTTAGTTTCCACATGCCTGAAACAACCTCAAGCTACATCTAAAAGTTGATGGCTAAACAAGAGGGTTTGAGAAATTGTGCAAGGCATACAGTAATAGTCTGAATAGTCGATTAGTCGTTTCATTAATCAATAGATTAATCGATTATCAAATTAGTCGTTTGTTGCAGCCCTATTATCCCATGTATAAATAAAACGTGTTATTCAGCAACCCTTGCAATTTGGGATTTTATTTTTGGTTGGTAGACCTCGGTGAGCTGGTCATTTCAAAAGTAGCTCACCAGCCCAAAAAGTGTGGGCACCCCTGATCTAATGGATAGTGAGGTGGGCTGAAGATCGGAAGGCTGTGAGTTCAAATCCCGCCAGGAACACCACCACTAGTGTGCCCTTGAGTGCCATCTTTACGCAAAATGATTATACAAAATGATTATACAAAATGAAAACTTTTTTTTTTTTTTTACTGTCTAGCACTGGCTTCGTAGTGCACTGATCGATTAGGCTAAACTAACCTGTAGCTGCTCCCTCCACACTCACAACAGCTTCGTACAGACATAAATAAAGCAGCTGTATTCGCCATACAGCAGGAAACACACATTTAAAAACGGGTTTGCCTGCCGTTTTTGTGTACACACACAAGCATTCATCAATGGTTCGGATAGTGGCGCTGTACCTTAATAATATAAAATATTGTATTTGCGTGCATTTCCTGTTCGGAAAGTGGCGCTGTACTGAGAGTGGAGGTGTCCTGAGATTAGCGCCTGCAGGCAGGCTCCATGGAGCTGTCAGCTCCGGACTGCGCAAAATGCGTACATGAAGCGCTACGTCATGAATGCAAGAAATCTACCCTCGTGGGGGCGCGCTCATGTGATTGGCTTAGAATTGAGGAGACATCTGATTGGCTATAGATAGAAAAAATTACAAGTACGAATCGGCTGACCGTCAGGGGAGTCTCAAAAAACCCACACACGAATGCACAGCGATCCGTACACAGAAAGCGGTTTGTGTTTGCAGGTTCAGAGGTTCAGGTTCAGACAATGTGATTTTCTGGATTTTTTTTCTCATTTTGTCTCTCATAGTTGAAGTGTACCTAGGATGAAAATTACAGGCCTCTCATCTTTTTAAGAGGGAGAACTTGCACAATTGGTGGCTGACTAAATACTTTTTTGCCCCACTGTATATGAAACGGAACACATTTGTGTGTGCATTGAAAAACACAAGTGTGAATCCTTTTGCGGATCATGAAATACAAGTGTGAATCCTTCTGTGTGCATGTGTGTATTATGAGACTGTTCTGAGCCCATAGAGTTCCAGGCGGACGTAACATCCGCGGAGCCGTTACGTCCGCGGAGCCATTACGTCACTATACCCAAGAAGTAAACAATGGAAAAAGATAAATCCCCAACGAGGCGTTCTGGGGCAGCATAGACAGGTCTTTTCTGTGTTAGAGTTGTACTCGCTACAGGGTGTACTTTGAGGGTTTGTGACTGCAGACTGTTTACATGCAGAAAAAGCTACATAACACACAAGGGGACGGGTAGTAACCAGAAAAGCATGAGATGGGACCTTTAACAACACATACATTTCAAACCTTAGAAACTAGTCATAGTACAGGCTGTTGTTGGAAAATGACAAACATAGAGGATACATTATATTATAACATTGCATTCATTAGCTTACGATTGAAAAAATATGCTTATATTCTCTATACGATACTTGTTTTATGGTTTAACTTATCTTTAATGCTTTCACCTCATGAAGAGACTTTACACTTTGAGCCCCTAAGGATAACATATTTTCTCTCTAATTTTGCTTATTTCTGGGGAATTAAATCATAGTGAGATTACAGTAATCCCAAAAACCAACGAACACCCCATGGTGCCTCCTTAGGGAGCAGTGGGTGCAGCTTTAACACCAGTTGATGATCGTTGCAGCTGACCAACCAAGACAACTTTTTAACTTCTATCCCAAACCTCTTAAGGTCATGTGAACACATTTTGTTCTACTATGAGACTGTCATATAAACAGTTTGAGGTAGTTAATCTTCAGGAGAGCGCCACAGACCAGTTTGAAGATTAGATTTGCGTTTCCATCAGGACTGGAGCAAAGATTTAATCATTCCTCGGTGTACCAAAGCAAAGACGTTGTCGAGGTCTAATGTTGCCAGATTTGAAGTTAATCTTCAGGACGTATCCATGTTTGCGGATTAATGGCTTGGCTGTGCCCTCAATTGAGCGCCTGCACGGGAGGGATGCTCAGCGGTGTCAAGTCAGCCACAGATGGCAAGAGGGAGACAGGAAACATGGCAAGCAAGATGTCAGAATAAAACCATTGTAGAAGGTAGTTCAAATATCCTTTTGTAATTTCAAATACATTTTTTTACATGAATAAAGAATTGGAGATTAGGTAAATAGCATCATAAGGAACCCCTGTTGGATTAAATATAGCAATCAAGTGCATTTAGGGAAAAAATATAAGATGAAGATTATTCAAATATATAAATAAATAAAATAAATAAATATCCACAGCACTGGAAAAAGTATAATTAAGGGTCAGATTTGTTTAAAGATTCTAATAAAATGTGTATAATTTCTATCTATAATTGATATGTTGTTTATTTTGTCTCTATTGTTGGGGTTGCCAGTTCACCTTTTATTTTGAAAACGGTAATCACACCAGACAGTTTTCATTATTGTAACCTTGACAGGAGGAGCTGGGCGCACAGTGCTCCTCCTCAGTTGCTTCCTACAATTCAAGTGTGAACCAGAAAAAGAAAACCCATGATAAGAGGGATGTCTGGACAGTGAATATGGGAAGCAAAACCTTACTGGCACAGAAAGGATTTTAAAATGGGAAAACTGGAGTTTTGATCAGTGACGGCTGCAGGTGGAGTGTGTGTTTTTTTCTCATCACAATGTGTGAGGGATGGATGCGGGTCGGATGCCAGTTTATTTTCTTTACGGATACAAGGACTGGCAAGTTATCAGCATGATTTACAGAGGGCAGAAAAACTGATATCAATGTTAAATTTGACTCTGGAGAGAGGACCATGGCGAAAGGGAAGGGACTGTTATTTTCACTGCTGTACTTTATAGCAGAGTTTTGGCTCACTTCGCAGCAGGTCCTGAGAATAGGTAAGTGGTGAAACTGTCTATCCTTTTCATTCATTCCTATGTGTTAATATACAGACCTCAGTTTATTATGTGATCCAGGTTGAAGGTAATTTCCCTTTGGCGTCATCTACCGAGTCTATCTTTCATTGTATGTGTTATTAAAAAGTTGACTTTTTGTATTATATTTTTCACATCTTATTGTCCATAGAGCGACGCTTCTTTGCAAGATTACATTATATTTAGTTAAGGCAGTCTGCAATGTTAGGATATACTCATAGTGCAGCTCAGACTCTGTAGCTAAGTTAAATGGGAGGAGGATAACCTTTAACTCCTCGCATGATAAACCAGAAAATGACAAAAGGGAATCACGGTGTGTTCATGGTAAATGTGTGATGCTTTTTTAGATTGAACTGTAGCTGCGTCACTATACAACTTGTTTCTGGATCACGCAATCATATTATCAGTAATCTGTAACAAACCTAATGGACAGTTGTATTCCTATGTTATTCAATAGTGGAATGATGTTTGTAGAATGTCCTTGTAAGGACAAGGGAGGTACACTAAGGACAGAGTTCTGTGTTGTTCCCTTGAAACCACTATATCATTTGTTTTACCTAAATCATGTTAATCCACTTTGATTGGCTAAAATCAGAGTCCGTCTCTGTTCCACCATGTCGACAGCGCAGATCAGAGGCAGATGAGTGGTTATAGGATGGTCTACAGCTGCATCTAAAACCATTCTCTTTGTATGATAATGTTTTCTGGCACTGAGGAATGTGAAATGGATACAGAGCTATAGAAATGAGTGGCCAGTCTCAGTGAAAGTTATTTAGACTTGATGCATATGCATGATGATGGCCAGTGACATCTGTGATTGTGGATCTGAGTTGCAAATGGTCTGTAAATCCTTTGAGAGAGAGAGAGAGCTCTGCCTTCACTTCTAATTAGACAAACAGAGCTCCGGCTCTAACTATCCCCCTTTGATTTCTGATGTAACTTTGTAACAATGGAGCTGATATTTGCTATTCATTTTCTCTGCTCCCTTTATGGTTTGGAAGATTGCATCACATTTCTTTTTCATTTAGGCTTCAGGACTTTTTGCTACGCTCAATGCCCAGGGCAACTTTGTATTTTTCTGAATTTCTTCTACTTCTAAAGAGACTTTAAAATGGAGCCGTGTGCGTTACATAACTTTGAAGGCTAATAGGCTGGTGCCACCTCCTGTTCCACCAGTCCCGATCTGTGCACTATATTGTTAATCTCTCTAAATCATCTATCACTCTCTGAGGCCACCTAATCTTTGTCATTCTCTTCATGACCCACACACATCATAATCTCTCCCATATGGTGGGTGGCTTCGTTCAATTAACATCGCTCCGTGTTGGCAAGTGCTGGCATCAGATTGTGACTGGCTTCCACTCTCTGCACTGGGGTTGGTAATAATGGTAAATCTTCTCCCTCAAGCCCTTAAACAACTAACACTAATCTTCTTTATGCAGAAAGTCTATTCCCCAAATATGGTACTTAGGCAGCGACTAAATCTCATCATTGGGGAGAGCACAGAAGCAGCAGCTTGTGGCCTGGCCTCCACTTGATTTTGCAGTTTGTTGAAGTCCTTTTTCCTCTTGCTTGCATGCTTCATTCATTGGTGACATCTGATTGATTCATTAATGATACAAGCCATATGATGTGAAATGTTTGATAAGCTACCAGCCAGAGAAATATCCTGTAATAACATCATCCCCCTAAGAGTCTTACACCCAGCGCTTTTATAAATTAGGTAGCTTTGATACAGATTATAATCCTGATTTTAATTATTTCGGTCTAAATGTTTTTGAGTTGAGTCGCAAGCAGCTATCCTCTGAACAGAGAAACCTCAGTGCTCCACATCAAACGAAGATAGTAGACTGGTTAGGACTTCCTCATTCATTCACAGTCTGGCATGGGCCCAGGATGGAGTGGTGCTGTTGAGGAGGGGGTGGGGGGCGCTCACTGGGAACAAGCCCAGGATGGGGAGAGGGGAGAAAGCAAAACACTACGTCATTGTGCCTCTCTGCCTTAAAAGACTCCTTCATTTGATAACTGCACAGATTAGAATCAGGATCTAAAGATCATTTCCTTAATGTTAACCTGTTATTTGGATTATCACAGGTCGACACAGCTGCCTAAACCTGAACACTGTTATTGTTCTTGCTCTGAGCACTGAAGGGAGGAACAGAAGCCCTATAAAAAGCCAAGCCTCAGGGTTTATCAGCATTTGCCTGCGGCACGAGCAGAACCTTTTGTTTTTGTGACCTCCTAAGCGTGCATCACCCCACAGCATTATCTGGCCTATTAAAGATGAGATGGAAGCTCAGTGATCCTGAAAATTATATTGGAAAGTAATTAATGGTAGCCATGGCGATGCTTTTTCAAACCCTTCTTTATAAATTGAATTAATAATAAAGCCCTGATCAAAACTAGTGAACTTGCAGTGTTCAAATTACAAGGACGTTTGTTCCTTGCAAAAGAAGATGTGCTTTTATATGCAGGATATTATAGATGTTTTTATTATATTTTGAAGACAGAGTACGGATTAATTCATTATTCCTCGAGTGATTCATGCTTCAACTTTACAGTTATACCTGCATCTCTTAGCTCAAACTTTAAATGACTGGAGTTTATATGATCACAGACAGCTTTAACTTTCTCGTCAATGTGCCTGCTAAAAGTCTATTGATCCATGAGTCGTCTGCAAACAGAAAGTGTGAAATGCTTATTCCCTATTTTCTCTGCATCAGTATTGGAAATGAATTCCATTTATTATTTTGGTTTGCCCAACTCAGTGCAATGTGGTGGAGCTGAATATAAAAGGTGCACTGAGCCATGATCCAATGACCCATTTCTGGAGTTACGCTCAAAATGCAACCACACAGCGCGGCTACAAAGCTTCAGGCAGGACTGTTCACAGGCCACAGGATTATGTTGCAAACAAAACGGGATCGATTTCTTAGTCAAATACATCCATGTCTATGTTCTAATCTTATTTTACTTTTCAAATGTCATTCATGTTAAAACATACTGTGATATCTAACATTAATTCAATATTAGAGTATAGGCCAAAGCTTCAAATCTGGCAAATTGTTGCTATTCATTTTAAGAAAAGCTAGAACAAAGTCACAGTTGTATTATGTGTGCGGTAGTGGTTGACTAACCAAATAACAGTACAGAAATTCCAAAGATGTGCGTTACGCATTACATTGTTGGTCTAAGAGAGACCACAGAAGGGTTGAGCTGTGATAACAGTTGCCTGATTTCAAGGTGCTCAAGTAACCCTTTTTAAAATAAAATACCTGCCCCTCATTATATGCCGCCTTGGAAAACAATGTTGACTCAATCTCATTGGACCACAAATGTGAAAGGCTTGTCTAGAGACAGATTTAATTATTTTCCTTGGGATGTGCGCATTATGTATTGTGGGTTTCTTAATTGAAAATGCATGTAAGAGATAACATTGATGATTTCCTTCCTCAGTTTTCAACCACATGAATATTTAAGCTCATTTGAAACCAATGTTCCAGAAATTAAGTGGAGTATGGTTGCTGCTTCACTCCAGATGCCTGGACGGTTGATAGTGGCCATGGGCATGACAATAACTGAAGATTTTTGTTATCGTTTATTTGAAGAGGGACAGTGCACATTGATGAACATTTTTAACAATTAAAGGTGGGGTATGTAATTTTGGAGAAACCAGCTCGAGTGCGCTAGAATTTGAAAATACACAACCGGAAAAAATCTGCCCCTTCCTTCAGACTTCCTCACAGAGTCCCTCCTCCAACACACACCAACGTGCACATGACCAATGAGGGCACGAGATAAGTTTGTGCACAGATGGAAGGCTGACAGGCAGGTAGGCCATCCAGTTATTTTAGCCGGGCCGGATAAAATGATTGGTCGTGCTTTTTACAGTACTACGGCTTCCACAGGTGACATTTTTAATGGATTTGTTGTCAAAGCACTTCAGATATTCATTGCTATCGGGATGTTAAGAGCATTCCATGGAATATAACAAAAAGTGTATCTCGAGCCGGTTTCTCAAACTCACCTACCCCACCTTTAATGCTTCAAAATGTAAATATACCGGATTTGAGCTTTTAGCTCATTTCTATCCGTAGTCCCTCACATACAACATTTAAGAACATGACATTTATGTACATAGCAAATATAAATACATGATATGCAGAAAGAGCATGAGCAGCATACAAGCATTTACCACATGGCAGTACAATGTAGCAGCTACGACATATAAAGTGCAGGAGAAGATAAAAGAGCTACATAAAGTGCAAAAGGAGATACTCCTGTGTTCAAGTGCATTTAGTGGTGATTGCACGTTTGTTTCTCAACCATTCTTTGAGTTGACCTTTAAAACTGTTCAAAGTGGGACAATCCCGTATCTCAGTTGGGAGGCTATTCCACAATTTTCGACCGAAAGTGGTCTGTCTACGCGGTGGACTTCAGTCTCCTCTGGTTTCTGACCTAGTGCAGCGTCCAGTGTTTTTTATGGATTAATTCCCCCAAGGGAGGGGGGGGACCAGTCCATGTAAACATTTATAAAAAAACACATACTTTTAAAAGACTTAAAATGGTCAAAACTCAAGAAATTGTGTTTTTCAAGGATGGTACAGTGGTGGTATGAATGTGGCCTTCTGTCAAACACCTTGATAGCTCTCTTGTACAGATGTTCTATGGGTTTCAGGTTTGTGGCACAAGCAAACAACCAGTTTGTCAAACAGTATTCAATTATAGCTGAGCTTTGGTACATCCAAGCTAACAGATGGATCATTTGTTTCCCGTTTCACATTGTGTGTACTGTATAACCATCCCAAGTGCATTAATAATAATGTGTTTTGTCCAAAGACATGTTTAACAAAAGGCTTGGCTACTTTAAACACTATAAATATTTCTCAGTAGTGTTCCTCTGACCAGCACTGCTTGCTTGGACCAGCCCTCTCCTTGCTGAGCTGCAAACTGCTGTCACCGTG